TGTATGTAAAGTTCGTTAACGTTATATCACTCGGTTTGTAGTGAAGTGTATGTAAAGTTAGTTAACATTATATCACACGATTTGTAGTGAAGTGTATGTAAAGTTAGTTAACATTATATCACACAATTTGTAGTGAAGTGTATGTAAAGTTAACGTTATATCACACGATTTGTAGTGAAGTGTATGTAAAGCTCGTTAACGTTATATCACTCGGTTTGTAGTGAAGTGTATGTAAAGTTAGTTAACATTATATCACACGACTTGTAGTGAAGTGTATGTAAATTTAGTTAGCGTTATATCACACGATTTGTAGTGAAGTGTATGTAAAGTTTGTTAACGTTATATCACTCGGTTTGTAGTGAAGTGTATGTAAAGTTAACGTTATATCACACGATTTGTAGTGAAGTGTATGTAAAGTTAGTTAACGGTATATCACACGATTTGTAGTGAAGTGTATGTAAAGTTAGTTAACATTATATCACTCGATTTGTAGTGAAGTGTATGTAAAGTTTGTTAACGTTATATCATGATTTGTAGTGAAGTGTATGTAAAGTTAGTTAACGTTATATCACTCGATTTGTAGTGAAGTGTATGTAAAGTTAGTTAACGTTATATTACACAATTTGTAGTGAAGTGTATGTAAAGTTAGTTAACGTTATATCCCACGATTTGTAGTGAAGTGTATGTAAAGTTAGTTAGTGTTATATCACACAATTTGTAGTGAAGTGTATGTAAAGTTAACATTATATCACACGATTTGTAGTGAAGTGTATGTAAAGTTAGTTAACGTTATATCACACGATTTGTAGTGAAGTGTATGTAAAGTTAGTTAACGTTATATCACTTGACTTGTAGTGAAGTGTATGTAAAGTTAGTTAACGTTATATCACATGATTTGTAGTGAAGTGTATGAAAAGTTAGTTAACGTTATATCACACGATTTGTAGTGAAGTGTATGTAAAGTTAACGTTATATCACACGATTTGTAGTGAAGTGTATGAAAAGTTAGTTAACATTATATCACACGACTTGTAGTGAAGTGTGTGTATAGTTAAAATTATATGACATTTTCTGTGTGTCCAGTGAAGGCAGTGCATCATTAAGCTCATTGGTTGACACCATTCATCAAACAAGGGTCATAGAACTGCTCATTTCATATGCTGACAAAATATTTGGTGTTCCTGAGGACATCTTTCCTGATCTTCTGGTCAACAGCTCTGGGTTTGGAACCACAAGCTCGAGACGATGCATCTTTCCTCCAGATGGTAAAGGTGAGCAGATGAGAGTATAAACTTTGTTTAGAGCAGAAAATTCAATAAATCAGCCAACCGTGAAGAATTGTTCTAATTAATTTTTGTTGTTTATGTTAAAAGATTTTTTCTTACTATTCTTAAGCACATTAGTGCCTTTTAATATCAGTGACACATTTTTGTGCTAAATAACAACTTTTAATATCAATGACACATTTTTGTGCTAAATAACAACTTTTAATATCAGTGACACATTTTTGTGCTAAATAACAATTTTTTAATATCAGTGACACATTTTTATGCCGAATAACAACTTTTTAATATCAGTGACACATTTTTATGCTAATTAACAACTTTTTCTTCCTTGCATATTTTTAGAGAATATTTAATAGTTAAATTTGTGTAATTTGAAAGCTCAAAATTATCAGCAACAAAACACAAACTGTTGCAAATTATCTAACATTCCCTGATGGTTGCATGTTCCTTTTATCTTAAGATGGTAAATATTTGTGCATAATTATTAAGTTATTTATAGAGTAACTGTGATATTTTGTCCAGTTAAACTTGTTATAGATTAATGAAAGTAGAAATTAATAGACTGTCACCATTCAGAATATATTGTTTTATCGAAAATATTTTACTTTTTATGTATTCTGTTTCTAGAGTGCTGTGTTATATGTAAACATGAAGATATATTTAAAAAAAAAGCCACTAAGCCTTGCACTGTTCTAAATGTGTGATAAGAAACACTGGAACTACTAAGCCTCATAATGTTCTAAATGTGTGATAAG